AAAAACCGAATACGTATACATTTACACACATTTACACAAGTAAATAAATAGACTCAATGATCTGCGTGTGCTGATTTCATGTGGGCCTTGTCATGACTGACAAGCCTTAAGGACACGCCTCCATAAATCATAGCTTTTTCAGGAGTGAGCCAAAATGATGTATGTGACTTTTGTGTGTGTGTACTTCTAAAAAAATGCATCATCAGACCCCACATAATACAACGACACCTTTAATGACCTGAAACGTGTAAACAAAAGTTTCTATGTGTTCAGTTTTGTGAAGTATAAACTGTTCGTTTTGCTCTTTTGGAATCATCGGTGCACCACTGTCTCTTTGTTACAAAGCACTGAGTCAGTGTATCTCCCTGGCAACTAAGTACAACAGGAAGTTATGCAAATACCAAGTGGAGTTTGACAAAGGTTTTCACGTCCCGACCAGAGTCAGAACGGAACTGAGTGTCCCACACCACACACACAGATCCACTCGGACAAGCGTTTTTTTTTTTTTTCTCTCTCTGCAGCATATTAATTACTGACTTCATTTCAAGACAAAGGGAGAACCTTTTGTTACACTGACACCAGATCTTCAGCTTCAATATAACAAGCAGCAAGTCGGAACAATTCGTCATCTTTATAGTGTTGGGTCCTTTCTGGTGAACACAATGTCATTTAAAGGCAGCCTTTGTGTTCAAACTTAGTGTAAGTGACCCTCTGGTTCTCTTTTAACACACCTGTCATTTACTAATAGACCTGCAGACCTCGGTTAGCTTGTTCAGGTGTGTGATAGTTCAAGCGTGATAGAATGACCTTACCTGGGAAAGCTTTTTAGGTACTGGATCTACATTCTCAGAAAAAAAAAATGCTGTCACTTAGGCGGCACCGTATACTTTCAAAAGGTACATTACAATGGGAAAACCGCAAGTTGTGCTTTAAATGTTTGGCTTGTCAACTGCATGGTATGGAAACCTTTTAAACCTGCTAGACATACGGATGATCCCGTCCCATACAGCTGCCATTGCACGGCTCAAAGATACTTTGTAGTGTGCAATTTAACACAATTGCCTCTAGCAGTCGCCAATGGAAATAAAACAAACACGCAAGAAACGCACGTACGCCAAACATGATGTTGGCGTGGACCAACGCACATTCTCACGTTCATTTCATCGTTAGGAAATCCAAACGTGAGCGTGAAATATGGCGTACGCAAAGTTTTTGCAGCGTTGATACATGAGGCACCTGTTGAACTGCTTCCCAAACATCACATATACTGCAGAAGACTGAGGTATCAAGACATTTGTGCTGCCCATTACATTACAAACTAAAGGAGAGGGCAAGTTCTTCAGAAAGATAAGCACTCCTTCTTATACCTCAAAAAAAAAAAAAAAAGCAAAGAAGGTCAAGGTGGTCCAGGACTGGCCAACCCAGTCACCAAACATGACCATTACTGAGCATGGTTGGGGTAAGAAGAAGGAGGAAGCATTGAAGATAAATCCAAAGAATCTTGATGAACTCTGGGAGTCATGCAAGAACGCTTTCTTTGCCATTCCAGATGACTTTATTAATGCGTGATTTGAGTCATGTCAGAGATGTATGGATGCAGTCCTCCAAGCTCATGATGGAGTCAGACACAATATTCATTCTTTCTCCACTGCAGCATGGCATATTCTATACTGGACATTATTTCTGTTCAGTGACTAGACTTTTGTCTAAGCAAATCAGACCTTACTGCCCTAATTAAATAATTAAAAATCAAGGCATGATCATATTTTATTTGGATAAAATAAGCGTAATCTAGAGGCCTTTGCCTTTCATATAAGCCACTTCTGATACCAAATGATCGACTAGAAGTCAAGTTATTTGTTGTTCCTATAATCTGGATAGTCAACAAGACTTTGGTCAGGAAGTGTAAGTTATTCAAATTAAAATAAATATCTTTAATTAATTAATTAATATAAATAACTAATAACATTAATATATACCAATAAATTTGATTTAGTTCCGGGTTTAAAATATCTAAAATAGTTCTTTAATGCCATTAATATGACATTAGTAAATCTACCCATCTAATTTGATAAACGCACACGGTAACCTAATAACATGGTATCCAGAATTAGCAAACAGTAAACCATACAGTGATTAATAATATGGTGTCTCAACAACAATAAATGTAACCTATAATGAAATTAAAAAAGAAAAAAGACCATAATGAGAATGCACAAGATAACTGATCATTAAAATTGGCAACTGTTGCTAATAAAAACATGAAAACAGAAGCAATGTCACCCACACAAATGCAAAACACCATCCGACTAACACACAAAGCAATCAAATGATCACACAGTCAGGAATGCTAGTGAATAACAGCATGACTGATTACCTGCAGCAAAGCTGTGTTCATATTCTGTGAATTTGAGGATGCTAAAAATAAGTCCATATTTGTCCAAAATAAGTCCATATTAAAGCTACAGCCAGGCTTTTATTTACACAAGTGAAAAGAAAACGACCAGTCAAATTAAAGGACTAGAACATCTAAACAAATCTGATGAGGCAGGAACAAGTGGATGGTTTATTTTGAATAGTGTCTCCCCAATCTCACAGGAACTTGAGGAAATGAAGTTAACTTATTCGTTTTTACATATTTAAGTGGGTTGAACATAACACAATTAAGTTTTCCCCTTAAAAATACTCAAGAATTCAGTTTTTTTTTTCAGCTCAATTTAAACAAATCATCTAAACAACCTGCAAACATACATACATCTTTGAGCGTAATTAGTTGCACCATTAAATGAAATTTAATGAAAGCTAATAGGCGACTTTAACAGTAACATAATAATAACAGTAATAAAACAGTTTCGAAAGGAGATAAATAAAGCTTTGCATCATCAAGCCAAACAAATACAGTGCTTTTATACAAATTATTGTCACTCTACACTGCAAAAAATGTTGAGATGCACACAAATCCTTCATGTTGTCACAACACAAATTGATTAAGTTAACTTAATTGTTTTCACAAATTTAAGTAGAGTGAACTTAACGTCTTTCCATAAGGAAGATAAACAAAGCTTTGCATTAGCAAGCCAAACAAATGGAGTGCTGTTATATTAAATATGGTCACTCTACACTGTAAAAAAATGCTATGTTCTTCACAAATCCTTCATGTTATCCTAACACAAATGGAGTAAGTTAACCTTATTGTTTTTACACATTTAAGTAGATTGAGCTTAACTTCTTTCCAAAAGGTTTGCATCATCAAGCTAAACAAATGTAGTGCTGTTATACAAATTATTGACACTCTACACTGCAAAAAAATGCTGAGATCCACACAAATCCTTCATGTTGTCCCAAAACAAATTGATTAAGTTAACTTAATTATTTTTACAAATGTAAGTAGATTGAACTTAATTTCTTTCCAAAAGCTTTGCATCATCAAGCGAAACAAATGTAGTGATGTTATATAAAATATTGTCACTCTACAATGTAAAAAATGCTGAGATGAACACTAATCCTTCATGTTGTCCCAACACAAATTGATTAAGCTAACTTAATTGTTTTTACAAATTTAGGTAGATTGAACTTAACTTCTTTCCGAAAGAAGAAGCTTTGCATTAGCAAGCCAAACAAATGCAGTGCTGTTATACAAAATATTGTCACTCTACAATGTAAAAAATGCTGAGATCCAAACAAATCCTTCATGTTGTCCCAACACAAATCGATTAAGTTAACTTAATTATTTTTTTTACAAATTTAAGTAGCTTGAACTTAACTTTACAAAAGAAGATAAATAAAGCTTTGCATTGTAAAAAACAATGCTGAGATCCACACAAATCCTTGATGTTTTCCCAACACAAATCGATTGAGTTAACTTTAGTTTAGACACATTTAAGTGGATTAAACATAAAACTATTAATAAAAATAGTTTAAAGAAGCATAATAAAATTATATATTTTTTGAGTGCAAGTGTTATATTTGACCACTCAGATGAAGGGACTGGAGTATCAAAACAAATATAATTTTTTTAAATAAGACTCCTAAATACTACAGATCTGTGCCACAAAGGTCTAAATAACACAGTTTAATTTTAATTAGTGTGTACTGTATTATCTTGACACATTCATATTTTTAAATTCATACTTTTTATGCAAGATAATAACCATTTAGCCGGGTTCAAAAGTACATGCATGCTCTTTTATAAGTATTATAAACTATTTAAAATTATGCTCCGTTAGTATAACATGAACAAACTAATACATTAATACAGTTATTATGGTACTTTAAGGTTGCACTCTAAATAAACCCTGCCTTCAGTTTTTAAGCTGAATCAAATTGTTCTTATGAATCCATTAAACTTAAATAATGTTAAACTGACTTAAAGCTGCTAGCGTAACATATAAAATTAAGCTAGAACACGATTAAGTTAGTTTATTACGATGCAAATTAGCTAAAACATATACTGCCATGACTATTAGTTGTAAATTAAGTTAAATAATGTTAACTCAGTGCATAAACTAACGTCGACAAGCACAACTTTGGATATTAATACAGTATTTACTATATGATTAGGCTTAAATTCTTTGCAACATTATTCATACTTAGTTTAAGGTCAGTAACTAATATATTATTATTCTAAAATGCTATCATATTAGCTATTTTAGAAATTGACGGTCTTTTTTAACGCATTTTTTACGCTACGCGCTCAGGTAACTAATTAACGGCTTGACCACCGAATCATTTTCCTCCCCAGTCTAAAAAACTCTTGCTTATGAGGCTGAAAGCTCCGTCGGAGGAGGAACCAGCATTCACATTCATTCATCGCGCTCAATGCATCAAAAGAAGCTCATCATGAGCTATGATGCATGCAGGTCAGAGGATGAACATGATATACTGACTCAGCCTATAGCCGATACATCAGTCACAGAGCAGGTCAATAGATGCGTCGAGATGACAGCAAACCCTCCACCAATGCATGCATCGATATCCCCGGTCGCTTTTCCCTTACTTACAGGGGCTGTTGTGGGAGAAGCGTGCTCTCCTGGGCGAGTAGGATTCGTTCTGATCCAGTTCGTACGCGGAGGCGATGAGCACGGCGAGCAGCAAAAGTCCGGTCCTCGGCGGCATATCTCTCACTGGATGATGCTATTACGAAGGGCAAGAAAAGAGGATTTCCTTAACGCCTTTATGCGCGTTCTTGGCGACTTGGTTGAGGAAATGCGCGCGCGATGTGGGCAGTATCATGAAGGCTCCGTCTGTCCGGCTGATCTCTCCGGCAGTTTCTTCTTGCAGCCGCGTGCATGACAGGTCGCCCTTTATATGTGCCCGAGCATCACGAGCTCGCATCACAGCCCAATCACATCACAGCAGGCGCTCTTAACACTCTGCCTCGGCTCAAACTTTCATTCATTGATCCGTGGCATGTAAATGGGCACCTCATATGGCGTAAAGTTTGCGCTGATCCTTGTAACTTGGGGAAAACGCTCACATCCTGGCAGCGCTGTTGTTATATACAAATACGCTTCAAAGAGATTGTCGCATATTTGCTCTGTAGGGACGTCACGATGATATATGTGCTTTTCCTTAACTTTACACTAGTGAAAATAACGAGGAGTTGCTTGAAAGGAACGGAAAAAAAAAAAAAAAAAACACAATGGGTTCCACATAATTAATTTGAGTTGGAACAACATGAAGGAAATAAGTTCACGCATTAGATTTTTTTTTACGCATTTAAGTGGATTAAACATAAAACAATTAAGTTGTCCCAATAAAAGCATTAGGGATATTGTTATTTCAGCTCATTTTAAATAGGTAGTTCGAACAAAAATGTAGACTGTGTATGTACACTGAAAACCCTAATAAGTTGACTGAACTAAATTAATTGAGCAAGCTCATTGCCTTAATTTAATTAAGTAATGGAGTCTCCCAAAACTTGCATATTTAAGTTTGTTTAACTTAGTACTAAATTTGGCGAACCGAACAATTTAAGTATAGTCTACAAATCCTGCAAGATAAATAAACTTAAATATGCAAGTGTTGGGGGATTTCATTATCCAATTAAATTGAGGCAATGAGTTTACTCAATTAATTTAGTTCAGTCAACTTATTAGGGTTTTCAGTGTATACACTGCCAAAAAGGTGTATTATTTAGAGTTTTACTCTTGTTTCTATTGAAAATAACTACAAATTCTTTAATCAAGAAGCATTTATAGACTAGTAAACATCTTGTTATAATTACAGAATTAACGACTCAAATTATAGTAAGTTTTTGCTTTAAAGCAAGCTATAATCTGCCAAGATTTGCATTTGAGTAGAGTTTATTTTGCTTAGCCCACTGGCAGATTTACATTGTTTCAATTGTTTTAACTTATTTCTAATATATATATATATATATATATATATATATATATATATATATATATATATATATATATATATTTTTTTTTTTTTATGAAAATTTTTTATAAAAAATTTTAAAATAAAATGACTAATTGATCATATATATATATATATATATATATATATATATATATATATATATATATATATATATATATATATATATATTTTTTTTTTTTTTTTTTTTTTTTTTTACTCTTAAGATTTTTTTAAGAGTAAATATTGCAACTTTATAACATAAAGTCTATTAATGCAACTCACAACCTTTACAAAATTGTTGTAAAATACAAAAAAGTGGCCAAATATCATTTAAAAACACTACTACGCATGCATGACACTTTAAATGTGTAAACTGGTCCATATTTAATAAGTCTGATCACGCAAGTCCAAATCTCCTGAACAATGAGATCTCGTTTTTCTTTATCTTTATGTTTCATCCAGTAATCCTATTTCAGCTGTCTGCAAAAGCGTCCCCCGTCTGATCACCAGGACTGCGTTTTAGTCAAATGCATTACGCTCTTTGTTTTTCCTTAACCGTCTTTGAGAAATAACATTTGAAGTTATTCAAATCACTCGCATTTTTATCGCTTTGGCATTTTGACGGACCATCTGCAATAATGGCGCTATTGTTGGAGAAGCAAATGCGGAATTGTCTCTGGCTGAGAGATAAACGACGCAGGTATTGACACAAATCGTGTAGTAGAGCATCACTGTTGACTTTGCGCGTCTTGCAACGCGCGCTCACGAGCTCGCGCACGGCGCACGTGCAGAAGCGCACGCCCGATCTGACACTCAAGTCAGTGCGTGAACAATCGCCAAATCAGCAGTCATGGTTAAGTGAGAAATCTACTTAGGTTTAGCCCCGAAGAAAGGAAAGACCATCTCAGGGAGCCCTTATATCTTGAATGTACTTTTAACCTATGTCATTCACGAGGCATCTTAAAGAGACAGTTCACCCCAAAAAAGAAAATGTTCACCCTCAAGTGGTTATGAGTTTCTTTCTTCTGTTGAACACTAAAGAAGATCATTTGAAAGAAGATGATAAGCAGTAACCATTGACTTCAGTAGTAGGAAAGACAAATACTGTTGAAGTCAATGGTTACCGGTTTCCAGCATTCTTCAAAATATCTTCTTTTGTGTTCAACTAAACAAAAGAAAGCCAAACAGGTTTGCAACAAGTAGGGTGAGTAAATTATGACAGAATATTCATTATTGAGTGAACTGTCCCTTTAAAGTCACATGCACAGACCATAATTATTCAAATTTAGTCATGATAATAATAAGAAAAAGAAACTAAATATAAAATAGCTTCAATAATATAGCTATTAAAGGGCAGCTTACCCCATACCAAGATACTTCATGTCCCAGGACACAAAAGGTCAGCATGTTGTGACTCATATTGGGGAAATTTAATGTCACATAATTAAAATATAATGAAGCTGCGTGATATAAAAAATGTAATAACTTGGAATAAATGACCAGGACTTTAGAAGGCCAACAGAATCTGTAGAAAAGCAGAAACAGGTGCTGGTTATTTTATGGGATGACATTTCATTTACATTTGGGATGATATTTCCTTTAACCCATTGTATCGTAAAACACAGTTTAACCTGTAATTCGAAATGCAAAAAAAAGAAAAAAAGATCTACCATAAAATAAAATTAAGGTAAATAAAAATGTTTAAGGTATGATCACATGACGTACGCTGTTAAAAGTTATTATTTTACTCAATAAAAAAAAAGTGAGTAAACCTGTTGCCTTATAAACGACAAGTTGACTAAACAAGTCATTTATTTATTAAAACTTATTTAACTTATTTGATTGATTTTATTTTCAGCTTAGTCCCTTTATTAATCTTAGGTCGCCACAGTGGAATGTTCCGCCAACTTATCCAGCATATTTTTTTACCAGGCGGATAGCATTCCAGCTGCAACCCATCACTGGGAAACACCCATACACACTCATTCACACACATATACAGACAATTTAGCTTACCCAATTCATGTCTTTGGATTTGTGGGGGAAACACCCGGAGGAATCCAACGTCAACACGGGGAGAACATGCAAACTCCACACAGAAATGCCAACTCGAACCAGCGACCTTCTTGCTGTGAGGCAAAAGTGCTACCCACTGCGTGCCTATTTAACTTATTATTTAACTTATTTTTCTATTATATTATAGCATTATAGTATAGCACAGTCAATTTACTTAAACATATTAAGGCAATGGGTTTACTCAACTAAGTCAACTAATAATTTTAAAAGCAGCAGGTTTACTAACTTATTTTAAGTAAAGTTGACTAACATTTTTTTTTCACAGTGAATAAGGAAATGTTTCACATGCAGACAACAATGAAAAATGTTGTATAAAAAAAGACTAAAATGCTGTGTTTTTCATTCTGGGCCAGTCACTTTGTGAAGAAACAGTACAGTATGCACTAAAAAAATAAATATTTTGCTGCTTGTTCAAACTACTTATTTAAAATGAGCTGAAACAACACAATTCTGGAGAATTGTTTTATTATTTTTATTTTCTATACACTTGAATTTGTCAACCCAGGCTCATTGCAGATATGTACCCAGGTCTACTTTTCTGGAGACATCGAAAAACCTAACTGGAGGCGTGTCTGAGAACACGGCAAGAGGCTGCTGTTTACACTTTTTGATGATTTCAAATTTCTCTTGCGCATCCACTTCTCGCATAAATACACCAGAGGGTGCAATATCTACTTCAGCCGACCAGGCCAGCTTACTATCGACTGACTGACTGACCCACCCATTCCCTAAACCCAACAACAAAAAAGTGTTTTCAAAAGCAGTCTAGAAAAAGAAAAGTCGTAGCGTGATTTCACAATGCTTTTAACCTGCTGTTTATTTATATATATATATTTTTGGCTTTGTTTTACCTGTATTCTGGAGCCGTTCTTTACCAGACTCAAACCCCGTCATCGTGATCCACTCTGCTCAACATTCAAAGTCCATCAGCATGTATATATATATATATATATATATATATATATATATATATAATGCAAAAATATAAAAAATAGAATAATAATATTAATAATAATAATAATGTGATGAAATATGCAAAAAATGAATTGGAAAAAATTTATAAAAAAATTGATTAAAATAAACAAAATTAATTGATAGGAAAAATATAAAAATACTGTAAATGGAGATATTTAAAAACATTGAAAAATAAATAAAAACAAAAAGGACAAAATGTATAATAATAATAATAACCAAAATAATAATAATAATAATAATAATAATAATAATAATAATAATAATAATAATAATAACCATTATAATACTACTAATAACAATAATAAACTGAGCAATAAAATAAACAAAAAAATTAAATTTAATAAAAAAATAGTAAAAAAAAAAGAAAAATAAATGAATCAATTAAGAGATAATATTAAAAAATAAAAAAATAAAAAAATAATAATAAAAATAAAATACTATTACTTTCCCGGAGATGGGTTGCGGCTGGAAGGGCATCCGCTGCATAGAAATATGCTGGATGGGTTTTTCGGTTCGTTCCGCTGTGGCGACCCCGGATTAATGAAGGGACTAAGCCGACAAGAAAATGAATGAATGAATGAAAAACTATTACTAATAATAACAATCAAACAAAATATTAAAATAATAAAAACAACAATAATAATACAAATAATATTAGTAATAATAATCATCATCATCATCATCATCACAATCATTATAAAAATAAATTATGCAATAAAATAGAAATAAACTAAAAAATAAAAACAAAAAACAAAGCAATAAAATAGAGAAATCAGTCAATAGGAAAAACATCAATAAGAGTTTAAAAGAGTTAAAAATATAATAATGATAATAATAATGATGATGGTGATGATG